GCCGCCGCTTCTTTTTTGGGGGCGTTCCTGCAGGTTTAGGGGGAGAGGAAAACACAGCGGGCGTGAGGAGGGGGTGGAGGCCGTGGGGGTGGGTAACGCTGCCCGCGTTTTCGGTCGCGTACCTCTGCGCCAGCTTGTAGATCAGCAGCTGGATCCAGGGCGCCTCGGGGGCCACGCACACCTTCTTGTTCCTCTTCAGGGTCAGGCTGCAAAGCGATGAGGACCCCCTTCGTTTCATTGCTACGTGAGCCCCAAATTTGGAGGAACGGGTCCCCCGGGCCTCCCCACTCACACGATCTCCTTCCTGCGGCAGTGGATCCCCGGCGGCGTCACGTCGATGGCCAGGATCAGCCCCAAATTGATGACCCGGGGGGTGGCTTTGATGCACTTGCACCTCATGTTGGTCAGCAGGCTCTCCAGAGACAGCCCTGCACCCCGCGGCAGCCCAAAAACAGGTCTCGACCCCTCTTATAGGGGGCATCCCACGTTGTCCCCGTGCCACCAGCCCCGGGCCACCATCCTGTCCCCTCCCCGGTGCACGGTTGCATTGGTTTGGGTTGCAGCATTAGAGGACACGAGGCTAAAGCAAGGCTTAATCACCCCCAGCACAGCCTCAAAGCTTTCTTTTCATGCACAGGGAAAGGGATTCGCTTCAGGATTTCTAAAATTTCACCAATATTTTGGGAATTAAACCCGCCAAGCGCTCAAATTTTCACGGGGGCATCTCAAGAAGCAGCAGCTTAAACCCATCAGGCAAATCCTCCCCGCTCCCAAGCATCCCCCACTGCATTTAGAAGACTCCAGCTCAAAGATAAACAAGAAAAATAACCCCAAAAAGGCCACCCGATGCCCCCACCTCGGGATTTTGGGGTGAGAGCTGCACAGACACCCCCGGGTCACTCACCACCCCCTGGTGCCCCATTGCTGAGGAGCAGGGCCAGGGCCAGCGCCGCCGCCAGCAGCCGCATCCTCACCACTCGGTTTGGGCCACCACGGGGGCCGCTTTATAGCCAGCCCCGACGGGGATTTCGGGAGAGACAGGAGCTGCCCCGTGCCTCGACTTCCCCATGGATGCTTCCCCCCGGCGCACGTGGCCCATGCCAAAAAACACAGCAACCCCCACGGCCGCTGCTTCAAACCGGGGCAGCGCAGAAGCTGAGAGGGTCTCTTACCCTGTACCTTACCCGGAGCAATGAAAATAGGGGTCTTGCCCCCCTTTTTTTTGGAGGAGAAACACCTGAGGTCCCCAACTCTGCTCCTCACCCAAGGGGGTTTGGTCCCCCGAGCATCCCCGAGCCCCCCAGTGCGGGCAGGGATGCGGGAGATGGGGACCAAGAGCCACTGCCTTTATTAGACCTGTTTGGTCGTGTCCAAAGGGGACAGTGGGGACAGGAAGGGGAAGCAGGAAATGGCATTTTTGACTGCTTAGGTATGTAAAATCCAAAGGACAAAGGGGTACGGGGCATCACATAGTGGGGAAAGGTGACAGCAGGGTGGGGGGAGGCTGATTTTGGGTACAGCCCATCTGGCCGTGCCACCAGGGGTGACTTCCTCAGCGGGGCGCTCCTTTCTTCCTCCTGCCAAAAGCAGAATTAGGGCGAAACGGGTGAAGCGCGGTCCCCAGGGGGTGCCCCCGGGACCCCCTTTTGATTCGGGTGGAGGGGAGCTTACAGGTTCGGCAGGTCCTGCAGGAGCTTCTTCACCCAGGGGGCGTCGGGATCCACGCAAACCCTCTCCAGGCTTTTTAGCTTAATCCTAAAAGACGCATAGGGTTTCAGCATCCCATAAAGAACATAAAGTGGAGATAATTAAGAAGGAGGGACCCCCCCCAAAAGCCACTTACACCACCTCCAGGCGCCGGCAGCTGCTCCCCCGGGGGCGGACCTCGACGCTGCCGTATTTCCGCGGGGGGATGAAGGCTCGCGTGGTCTTGGCGCAGCGGCAGCTCAGGTTGCCGTTGGCTTCCAGGATTGCTGAGGAGGGGGGTACACGGCTCACACCCCACCCAAAATCCCCCTCCACCACCCCCAAACCCCTTTCTTAGGCAATACATCCTGTGCACGTTAATTAAACCCCCAAAACAGCAGCAAAAACCCCCATTTCCGCGGGGGGATGAAGGCTCGCGTGGTCTTGGCGCAGCGGCAGCTCAGGTTGCCGTTGGCTTCCAGGATTGCTGAGGAGGGGGGTACACGGCTCACACCCCACCCAAAATCCCCCTCCACCACCCCCAAACCCCTTTCTTAGGCAATACATCCTGTGCACGTTAATTAAACCCCCAAAACAGCAGCAAAAACCCCCCAAAATCTCCAAATACCTCACATACCCCCCCAGAACCCTCCATGCCTCACCTGTATCCGTGGGGCGCTGGGTGGCCAGCAGCACCCCCAGCAGCAGGGCTGCCCATGTCGCCATGCCGGCCCCATGCCCGGCCCCACAGCGTCCCCCCTATTTGAGCCGGAAAATAGGAGAAGTGGGGCGGTCGGGGGTGGTTTTCGCCATCTCCGTTCCCTGCTGACGGGGCTCAGCCGATTTGCGACAATGCCGATAAAGAGCAGCTCAGGGTTTGGTGGGGGGGACCCAAAATTGGCTCTGTTTTTTGCCTTCCTGTGACAACAGGGCTTGCAATTACATTTATAATTCTTAACTCATGGAGCTGTGCACGCCTGAAGGTGTTTTTGGGGTGTTTAATGATCAAATATCACTCGTTTCTCCTACAATAGATGTCCCCCCTTGCAAGGCGCATCCCAGCCATGCTTTGGTGGCGTCTGCTTTTGCCATTTCCTCCCATAACTGATTATCCCAAAACCCTGCTGGGGTGAATCACCCTGCCCAAAACACCGTGTCCCAAAATCAGCATGGATGGAGGCAACAAACTGTGGTGAGTTATATTGGGAAGGAGCTTTGCTTCCCACCCTCGCTGGAGGTTCGGGGCTGGGACATCCATCCCAACTCCATCGAAAAGCCTTTCCGTGCCCTTATGTTCCTCCATGGAAAAGGGGTTTTCATGCCCCAATCTGCCTGGGAGCTCCCCTACCTATAGCAGAAATACCTCACCTGACGTGTATTCAAATACACATTTTAATATCTGTGGAAGAGCATCGATACAAGAGCGCCGGATGCAAATGCCAGCTGTGATTTGGGGGTTTATCAACCCGAGTTCCTTTGAAGCGAGGAGATCCAGGGAAAATAACAACCGAAGAAAACCCCCGATTTTATTTGGCTCAAGCTCACGCCGCGCTGTGTCATTAAAAACCCCGATGCACGCTCCGTTGACGAGCGTTTCGCATGGGAAGAGTCGTAACCCCATCCCAACGGGGAGGGGAGCAGCTCCTGGCCGAGCTTTGGGGCTCTCAGCATCCACTTCCTCCGCAGGAAACTTATTTTTTCTTCCTGCGAAAAGCAGAAGGAGGAGAAACGCGTGAATGCCCAAAAAAGCAGACCCCAGAGCGGGGGGGAAGCTCCTGCCCTGACCGAAGGAAGTCACCGCTGTGTCCCCATGGGCAAGCATCACCGCGGGGACATCTCCCAGCCACCCCTTTGCTGGGATAAAAACCCAGCATGGTGAAGTTGTTTGGCTTTCCCAGCCGAGCACCCACACACCAATGCACTCCCCGTGGCCAAATTTGCTCCTGCCACCAGTTTTGCCCCCCCAAAAATACATTTATTTTGCCAAAATGTTTCCAGAGGCGCAGCACTGTGCCTGATTTGGGGAGAGCACGCCCGTGCATGGCAGCATCAGCACATTGAATGACCCGGTGTTGCTTTGCCAGCACAGTTTCACTCTGCTTCATTGTGGAAGGAGGTTCCTTGACCCCAGTAAGACCCCCCCAAGAGCCCTTGGTCCTGCAGGACCGCAGATGTGATGGGATGCTGCCCACTTCAACCCAAGGGGTTTTTGCCCCAGACTCACGTGCTAGCGATGCGCTTCAGCAGCTTCTTCACCCAGGGGGCGTCGGGGTTCACGCACACCTTCCCCAGGGTTTTTAATTTAATTCTGAAAGGCAAGGAGAGCCCATGAGCATCGCCCTCCCCTCCATGGGGCAGGGATTTGGGCAGACAGAGCTGAACCATGAGACTCTGCTTACAGAGGATCATGGAAATCTGCTTGCGACAGGGGGAAGATGCAGGAGGGGCAGGAGAGAGGGAAAAGCAAGGTGCAACGTGAAGCAGAGCAGAGACCACATTTGGATCCTGGGGGCTATCATTTGTAGCTGATTTTCTCTGTAAAATCACAACACTTGAGGCTATTGGCAACAAAGTTGGGTGAAGGGCAATGCAGGGATCAATAGGACAGGAAAATCAGAATTATTAAGGCTGGGAAAGACCTCCAAGGTCAGGTCCAACCATCAGCCGTGTCCCCAAGTGCCACATCCACACGGGTTTTGAATCCCTCCAGGGATGGGGACTCTGCCACTGCCCTGGGCAGCCCCTGCCAGTGCTTGACCACTCAGTAATGACATTTTTCCTAGTTAAAATACACAAATACATTAACACTGAGCAGTTAAAGGCACCTCAGGCTTCAGACAGGAGTGATGAGATGAGGGCTCGACCCCAGATGCTGTTTGCCCATCAGTAGTGGAAGGTATGGTGACTGCTCGCGCCGTAAGGTCACCACTTACATGATCTCGGTGCGCCTGCAGGTGCTCCCCACGGGCCTGATCTCGATGCTCTCGTACTTCTTGGGGCTGATGTATTCTGACGCCGTCTTCACGCACCTACAGCTCAGGTTCCCGTTCACCTCCAGGATGGCTGCAGGGGAGAGAAGGAAGCAGCTTTCAGAGACACCAACAAGGTTTGGAGATGCAGCCACTCCTAATCTCTGAAAGAGCCAAAGAGCTTGTCCCTTTCCATGCTTTGGGTGACAACGCTACAGATGCCATAATGAGAAACCTTTATATAGATAAAAACCTTGGTACCCTGCTCCCAAAAGCTGAACCAGCTCCTACAGAGGAGGACAAACACAGAATCCCAGAATATGAGGAGTTGGAAGGGACTTGGAAAGCTCCCCCAGTGCAACCCCTGCCACAGCAGGATCACCAGAGCAGTCACACAGGAACACGGCCAGGGCTTTGGGTGTCTCCACACAAGGACACTCCACAACCTCTCTGGGCAGCCTGGGCCATGCTCCAGAACCCTCACACTCACAAACTTTGGCCTCATCTTCAGCTTGAGCCTCCTGGGCTCCAGCTTGGGACCATTGCCCCTTGTCCTGGCATTGGACATCCCAGAGCAGAGCCTGGCTCCTTCCTCCTGACACTGCCCTTTCCAAATGGATCCCCAGGAATGAGGGCACCCCTCAGGCTCCTCTGCTCCAAGCTCAAGAGCCCCAGCTCCCTCAGCCGCTCCTCAGCAGGAGATGCTCCACTCCCTCCAGCATCTCTGTGGCCCTGCTGGACTCTTACAAGCAGTTCCTGTCCTTCTGGAGCTGAGGGCCCAGAGCTGGACCCAAGATTGCAGCTGTGGTGTGAGCAGGGCAGAGCAGAGGGGCAGGAGAACCTCTCTGCCCTCCAACCACCCCTTCTCATCCAGCCCAGGATGGCATTGGCCTCCTTGGCTCAAGGGCACATTGCTGCCTCATGGGCATCTTCTGTCCACCAACACCCCAGGTCCTTTTCTGCCTGACATACCCCAGACTGAGCATCGTGGAGGAGTCCATGCCTCCTCTGGTCCGTTTGGGCACAGGATGTGACCGATGCCCACACACGGTGAGGTTGGGGACCCCTGCAAAAACACCAAGACCTCACCTGCATGGGCCAAGTGGGACATCACCAGCAGCACCAGCATCCACGGGAGCACTGGGGTTCCCATCCCCACCAGCACTCGCATCCTCACAGCAGGCTCAGACTGAGGGACCGGGGCATGAAACGCCCCTATTTATTCGGAAGGGTCACGCTCCGACACAAGCAACAAGATCCATGCCAGCGGAGCGTGAAGAGAGGCGGCGTAATTTCTCGGACGCTCCCCGCACCCCTGCCAGCAGCCAAATTTGCAATGGTATTGATTAAAGGCAGCCGCGGGGGCGAAGCGCCTGTTTGGACTCCCCCCGTGCCCCATTTCTGATCAGCTGGGTCTGCACAAACACCACCCTGCGTTCCTTCAACATTTCACCCCTCGACCACAGAAAGAGCCCAGAATAAATTTGAAGCGCGAGCCCTGGGTGAGCGGGGTTTTTTTAATGCACTCAGATATTTACATATCTCTCTCTCTTCAGGCTCTAATTCCCCCACGCTATTTTTGCTGCCGCTTACATCAGCAAAAATGCTCAGCACCGTAGCACGGAAAAAATAAGAGATGTCTCTACTCTGTGTTTCGACTCAGATGCTTCAGGTCTCGCGCTTTGCCACACGAAGCGCTCGGGATGTGCAAGGGATGAGTGCTGTGGTAGCACCAGCAAAAAACCAAACCATTCCTACCTCTCGTGGACACTGAAGTAGATGCGTACGGCAGGGAGAAACTGCAGGAACATATGAAAAAGGAGGTCGAAATTTGCACATGGTGAAAATGCCATAAAGCCTACAAGTTTACGAGGCTTTATCCCAGCAAGGAGGGGGTCTCCAGGCCTTATACACCCACACATTTTGGGGGACCACTGGCTAGGTCACAGGATGCTTTGGGTTGGAGGGGACCTTAAGGACCATCCAAGTCCAACCCCTTGCCAATTGACAACATCTTTTGGGTTTCCTCCCAAAATAAGCCACTGAAGAACGACCACAACACGTTTTGGCATGCAAGGGGTCGACCTTGTAGTGCCAACATTGCCTCTCACAGAGGGTATTCAATTTTTTGGGGTTTGGTGGGACAGGGGCTGCTCTGAGCAAGGCAAAGCCCCCAGCCAGGAAGCCAAAGGGGAAGGGAACGCGCAACCATGATAGGAGGTGAGGGGGAAGGAAGAGGGCAACAGAAAGGAGATGTGGTGGCGTGATGAAGTCGTAATTTGGGGCTTTTAGATCACATCAGCACTTTATATAGTAATAAAATAGTACATAATAATAAAAAAAGAAATCTACTTAAACCATAAGCTTATCTTCCTCTTAGAGATTGTTTTTCCTCCGAGATAGATGCACAGATCTTATAAAGACTTGTAGAAAATCTTGCAAAGGCCCTGGCTCAAGAGATCGAGGTCAAAACTGGAGGAGTGAGGAGTTTAAATCCCTGCACACCAGGGTCCCAATTTTCACAACCGTTCCCAAAGTCCTTCAGAGAGGATGAGGGCCTTGCTACCACGGCAGCGCACAAGGAGATGGCTCTAAAACTGGGGTTTTCCTCAATATTTTCAGGGGTTTCAGTTTCCTCACAGAGTTATTGGAAGGAGCCCACCCCTAGGACTGGTGTGAGTGGTTTTGCTGGGTCACGGCAGGGGTCTCCTCAAAGAGAAGTCTGAAAATTAGTGGGGAAGGCAGAGAGCTACTGGGAAAGACAGCCGGTCACCTACTCAAAGTGCTACAGAGGCACTAATGAAGTCTCAAACTCTTTCTGAATTTCATGAATTTAAAATAATCCTGCTTTTATGGATGGGAAAAACCAAGAGAAGTGAAAGAAACTTTCCCCAGAGCTGCGTGGCAGAGAGGACAGGGTTGGGGCACATAACCAGTGGTCCAAGGTCTTCAAGGGAAACCAATGCCAGCTGCTGTGGGATGATGCTACCCCTTGGTCACACACCATGGACAGACCAGGAAAACTCGTGAGCCAGATCACAGCACAGATTTGGGGCTACAGGGCAGTTGTCCACCCCCCTACCCTGGAGAGGAGCAGGAGCTCCGCAAGCACATTTTGGCTGGAGAGGTGGCTTTAGAGGAGTCCTGGGTGATCAGTTTGGCCACAGCGACTTCTGTTTTAGCCTTGGGCAGACGTTTGCCCCTAGAGCTACCACCAAACCTCAGTTGTTTTGGCTGCGGTTGTCTCCTCTAGGGATGTGCTGCTTTGTGCCGATGTGTTGCTTTATGCCCGTCCTCACACCTAAATTCCCCTCTTCCTCCATAGAAGTCATGATGATGATTAATTCACTTCATACCCAGGATGAAACCCATGTTTTCCCTTGGTGAGGAGGGCAGGAGGGCCTTTTCTTCACTGCAAACACTGGTGAAATTGTCCCCTGTGCAGAGGTGGCCTCGGCAGAGCTGCCCTCCAAGGAGAAGTCAACGGCATTGGGACAAAATAAGCAGCTCACCCTGGGGCTGCGGGGAAACAACAGCCACCAAAGCATCCTTTGGGCAGTCTGTGCTGACCAACAGCATCCCTGGCCTGGCCCGTGGATGCTTCTGGAAGGACAGCCCAAAAGGACGGGGGCTCAGCTCTGCTATTTCAGGTGGTGGGATGGGATGGCAGACGTTGCTTGTGTGAAGATGAGCCCAGCATCGCCAGCGGTTCGTGCCCTCTCGATTCACGCCTAGACATGGATTTTCACAGAATCACAGAATCGCTCG